TTTTATTACTAACACATGCCGTATAATTTTGATAAAAATATTTTCTTACACTTTACAATGGACCGACTAATGCCAAAGAGTGTACATATGAAAAGTGCAAATATGTCCATGATATTGATCGTTATTTTGCCGAGAAGCCAGATGATATTGGGCCATTATGTCCAGTGTATTCGACCAAAGGTTTTTGTCCAAGAGGTGTAACATGCCGTTTTGCCAAAAATCATCTTGACGAAAATCGAAATAACTGCAAACAAGATTGGTATGACGAAGCACAAGCTAACGATTCTGTGAACCATATGTCATTTGGTAGGTCAAGTCATCACTTCTTTCTTGTAACCATGAAATTCTAAAAAAGATTCATTTTATTATTCTCTCCATAGAACTCCAAACAATGTTACGAAAGCGGACCTATAACTTCAGTCGCGCAAAAGAGATTGCGAAAAAACATTTCAAAAAGAATAGTGACACCGTCGAAAAAAAGGTATCACAATCGAGCTGTACCGGCGAACCAGAGATAAAAGATTGCGTTGATGCTGCATTGGCTACGACTGAATCGGTAACAGAAAAGAAACAAGGCTATTCGTCCGATTATGGTGTGATTAAAGAGCGTGCAGTGGAAAAGCGTAAAGTTGATTTTAGCAATAAATTGGTGCTCAGCCCACTAACAACCGTGGGCAATCTGCCATTCCGGCGTATTTGCAAAGAATATGGTGCAGATATTACATGCGGCGAAATGGCATGCGTAGTACCAATTTTGAATGGAATATCACCCGAATGGGCATTGGCACGTCGTCATAAATCCGAAGACATTTTCGGAGTACAATTGTGTGGCAACAATTCCGAATTAATCACGTGTGCTGCACAACTATTGAATGAAAATTGCGACATAGATTATTTTGACCTGAATATCGGATGTCCAATCGATTTGGTGAATTGATTTCTTTTTTTCATAATGGAAAAATCCTGAATATTGAATCTAATTTAAATTGTTTATCTTCTGATTTTCAAATAGATTTACAGTCAAGGTGCGGGCAGTGCTCTCATACGACGAACAAATATACTTGAATCGATTGTACGATCTTGCTCCGAAGTACTAAATGGCACACCATTCACGGTGAAAACACGAACGGGAATCTATTCGAATAAAAGTGTTGCACATGAATTGGTGCCAAAATTCGAAGAGTGGGGAGCCAAAGCTGTCACAATCCATGGACGTTCACGCGAACAACGTTATAGCAAAAATTCCGACTGGGAATACATTGAAAAGTGTGCACAACAAGCAAAAACCATTCCAATCATCGGAAATGGTGATGTGCTTAGTTATGAAGATTATCTTGAATACAAGAAGATTGCGCCGAGTGTGTCAAGTGTTATGATTGGACGTGGAGCGTTATACAAACCATGGATATTTCAAGAAATTAAGGAACAACGGCATATAGATCTAAGCGCCAGTGAACGATTCGAAATGATGAGAAAATATGGTAATTTAAAAAGAATCTCATTGTAATGTGTATGCCTTCAAAGTAATGTTTATTTTTAAATTTATTTGATCACAGTAAATTATGGACTTGAGCATTGGGGAAGTGACACAAAAGGCGTAGAGAATACAAGACGGTAAATATTTATCTTTTCGACATTCAAAAATCTTGACGTACTATTGTGTTCAATTGATCAATTTAATGAATTCAATAGATTTTTGCTCGAGTGGCAGTCGTTCTTGCATCGATACATACCATATGGAATTTTGGAGAATCCACCACAAAAAATAAATCAAAGACCAGTATCGTATCGCGGCAGAGACGAGATGGAAACGTTGCTAGCTTCACCAAATTGTGAAGATTGGATAAAACTAAGTGAAATGCTGCTCGGGAAAGTGCCAGATGGTTTCAACTTTATACCAAAGCACAAAGCAAACTCATTTGCTGAAGCTCAGGGATAAAGCTTAAAACAATACTTGACTATAATGTATACACTATACGTCTAATATAGGCATAGCATATATGTTTATTGTTTATTGAAGAGATTTTATTTTTAAATCTCACAGAAGAGAAATAAATGAAGACCGAAACTTTATCAACATTGTTTCAACATGAATAAATTTTTATTATTTTTTTTATAAAAGGTCTGTCTTCTTAAACTCTGTATCGACATGTATTCCATGACTGTGTAAATAAACAAACAAAAATATGTATTTAAAAAAAACAAGAACCAAACAGGCTTCTCTGAAATTTTGGATTTTTCATCAATTTGAGGTGCACACTTCAGAAAATGTTCAGAAAAAAATGGTAAAATCTATTTTAATCTGGGTTCGTATGTAGATTACTTTGTAGATTATTCAATTTTGGTTAGCAATTATATTAAAACCACTAGAAAATGTATCAAAATGCCGAAAATTGAATAGAATTTTTATGGTAATTTTTATTGAGAATGTGTCTATTGGACTTTTAACATAACAAATCTTTTCAAAAGAAACACATTTCATTCATTCACCAACTTCAGATAATGTTTTCAGTAGCATTTTGACTCTGATAGTACTTTTCCGCACACATAGTGAAAGGTGAAAAGTATTGTAATCGGTCAAAATTTTGAAAACTTCAGAAACATGTTTTCTACCTATTATTGAGGTCAGAGAACACGAATATGGCGTTTTTAAACATGGTTTTTGTTAATCTGTACGTCGTACGTTGTACGTCGTACGCAAAATTTGTTAGCAAGATTGCGCTCATCGTAGAAACTTAATTCAAAATCTGACTTTGCAGGATGATTGGGGGTCGCGAGGAATAGAAATCATTTGATTTTGAGCGACTTTGGTTGATGGAAAAAAATGTCACGCCTGGAGTGACACCTATGAAAAAGAGCCCAATTTTCGTCCAGAAGTCATACTTAATGTGGACTTAAACACTCAAAAATATGTATTGGGGGGTTTTTCGGCACGAGAAAAACGAATCCGAGGTTAGTTTTGAGATACAATTAAGTTTTGATACAGTTTCCTTAAAAAACTCACAAAAAATTGAATTTTTGTATGGGAGCCATGCCTGTATGCTACCCTAATGACGTGAAACTTTGCACAGACTATTTTTTACACAAAAAAATAACATTTTGAAAGTTTGAAGAGATTTCAATCAAAATTAGGGGTACCTCCCATACAAAATTTTCCCATACAAAAATCCAAATTTTTTGTGACTTTAGTTATGAAAAGTGTTTCAAAAATAATTTTTATGGCAAAATTAACGTCAGACATATTTTTATAGCGCTTTGTTAAAAAATAGAATACTTTCAAATGTCATACAATTGAGTTCATCATGATAGTGTGAAAAATCTTTTGCGAGTACTTCTGCTATTAAATTAAAGATTATTTCGATGCCGAATATATATAGCTTAATAGAATACGCATCTACCACCGTGCGGAAAAGTTCGTCTTACTCCTGTAAGACTCTTTACTGAATTTTTGAATAATTAGAAATATAGAATATTGTAGAAAATGTAGAGTATACATTCAATGAAAATACGGACGATGA